CAGACTTAACATTTTGGTTTTTGACATAGATTTTTTGAGTAGAGTCATGATTATTCCTTCAAGTAGGCTTTCATCCCCTCTGGGAAAAAACAAATTATGAGCGTCCATTGAAACTAACTCAGTTCATTGGTCAGTACTAAAGACCTGCCTTTTACAGTTTCATTAACTTTCCTGAAACCTTTTGTTTTAGAGTTCTTGGAAAAATGTTGGTTTTGGGCAATATCTTTTTTGTGGAGCTATCTCCTATGCCAGTATAAAATAGTTCTCTATCTTTTGATCCGGTTGGTGAAACTAAAAAGAGCAGATCATTCATCAACAAAACTAAATTTCATGTTGTTTGTGATCTTTAAAGACGAAAATTTTGTACTTATGGTTCCGTTTTACGGGACTATAGACACATGTTTGAGATTCATACTTTTTGTTTTGCACTAACTCCATGCATACGTCTGTATTTCCAGATTTGATTGCTACATCCAAACAATTGAACCCAGTTGATGATACGAGTGCTACATCTGCTCCGCGCTGAATAAGCTTTCTGAGAGCGCTCAAATTTCCACAATAGGACGCAAATATTGCTGGAGGCCTCTGCAATGATCACGTTAATAAAAGAGATAAGACAAAAACAAACAATTTAAGGTATAATTCTAGCCTGCATTGGCGGTTCTCTCTTTGTCGCTCTAAGGATCAGTCTGTGAACTGCCGGTACCTGAGAGGGCTCCGTGACGAAACAGTGGACAAATGAGCAAGACAATGTCCCTGTCCCTGAAAACAATAGTTGAGGTTTGTTTTGGAAGGCCAATCACAATAGAAGTATTTGAGAGCTTTGTGAATACTGTACCTGAGACGGGCAAACATTTTTCTATATACCCAGTCTTACAGGGCACAGATCTGCCCAATAGCAGTAGACATATATGACACAATGATTCATTCGAAATTCGGTTCGGTCGCTAATCGAGGCCTGACCTTCTGCTCTGATAAGGTACCCGACCATCTGAGCTAACCGGTCGATGGTTAGTTAAAGCAGACCGGGAAGCCATCTCCCTAATTTGGACTCATCAACACGGGCGTCGCCATCTTTCCGTCCAAAATACATTCCCTTTTGTGGGATCTCTGTAGTTGTCGCTGCCTCTCAATCGACCTGAAATTATGGCCCTATATAATGACAACGGCATTTAATTATCATGAAATTTTGTAGAAAGCGTAGACCGTGAATTGCAAAATGTTTGATATCTTGCATATCCGGCATATTCTGTGCGCATATTAAGTACACAGGTTCCTACGCACTCTACTTTTTTCCAGGCAGTTGATATCCGCTCCATAGTGAAGAAGGGTTTCAACTGTAGCAGGGCACCCAACCAACGCGGCATGAAAAAGCGGTGTATGACGATCGTCATCTCTACAAAAGAAAACAAATGTCGGTCATCCATAACAGGATACCTCTAGTAGATATCATAATAATGAATGATACGTTGCGCCTTCTCTCAGGCCCTCTAATCTAACAAACTCTTATATATGTTTATCCCAATCTCCGCTTCTTGTTTCAACAACCGTAACAAAAATACGGGATGAACGGGTGCAAATTAGCCAGGTGACTAAAAAAAGGGAAACCAAGGAAAATGGGATTAATTATGGCCATTTTAAAGCTGAGCACAAGACTGACTATGGGAATGTTTTGATAGCGCTATTACGTTTTTTTTTTATTGGTTATTACTAAGTTGCGCAGGAAACAGGGGGAAAGTCCGACCCCTAAGATAATCCTACGGTGCAGTTGGGCCCAGTCTTAAACTCAAAATGACCTGTAGCGGGACACCTAAGGTAGCTGGAGTTGTTCTAGATAACATGCGAAGTTCCATTGTACTTGCACAGATGAAGGTGAAAATCAAAATTGCTACCCGACAGACCATCCTTCTTGAAGTTTTTCCTGCAGAATGGGGACAACCATTCCTAACCGCCCTGGGCGCTTATTAAATTTTTGGACCTTGGGAGTGGGCGCTTATCCGAGCTGGGCGCTTATTCGAGGCTGGGCGCTTATTAAATTTTCACCATTTCCAGCAAGTGTAGTATGTTTATTTTGCAACAATACAATAAATGGTAATAATAAAACGCGAAGATGTAACAAAGCAAGGTTTCTGTAAAATACCTTGAAGAAAACTCCCTCTTCTGGCAAGTCTCTTATTAGTACTTATTTAGTGTTTTTTGGGTTGGAGGGACCAGAAAGGGGGTGGGGTGGGGTGGGTGCTTATTTGAGTTAGAGTTTGAGGGGGAGGGAGGCCAGGTGGGGTGGGCGCTTATTTGAGGCTGGGCGCTTATTAAATTTTTCTGTCTTCAGGATGGGCGCTTATTCGAGGTGGGCGCTAATTCGAGGTTGGGCGCTTATTCGAATAAATACGGTATTTGCAATAGATCTTCCCGGCTTCCTTGTTTGAATAGTAAGTACCCAAAAGTTTCCGTGATAAATTTATACCTGTAATCGGCTGCTGCACCACTCTCTAGTAAGTGTGTGGCCACCGCTACACGACCCTTCCTAGCGGCATAATGTAAAGGCGTACGGGAACCGTAGTCGATGTCATTAACAGATTCTGGGCATACGCTGACGAGAGCTCTCACCACACAAACGACTCCGCTCCTGATAAAATAAAAGTTACATGTGTAAAGAGTTACCTCATTTTTTTAATAACAATAGTGTATTAAGAAATTGAATTGTTACAAACTCTGCAGCCAAATGAAGTGGAATTCTTTCATCGTTGTCCTTTGCTCTGACATCTGCTCCAACGAGTATGAGGCGGTTTATGATCTGTAAAATTAGTAAAACGACATGATATTAAGCAGATCTAAGATTTTCCCGTCTTATGATTCTTGTTCCCTTTGTCGTATTTCCAGAGGCGTTGTGTTTTGAGGCAAAATAAGTGGTAAACAAATCTAGAACAAGGTCATATCACCTGTTGGTAGTTTCAATGGAAATCATAAATGCTCAGACTCAATTGAAAAAATCATTGAAGCGTTGGCTTCATTGGAGACAAAAAAACAGCATTATGATGACTTAAGGAAAAAAATTTTCAAGGAGAAGACCACGATTTAAGCAGCAAGTGAAATCAACTTAATGATCCACATAAGAACTCGTTTTAGGTCTCAGGACATAAATGGGAAACAAGACTCTTGTAGGATGCAGTCCCCTGTTCCCACTGTGTTAATATTAGCAGTATATACGGGGAACATTTTAACCTTTTCTGCGAATGAAGAAATCTCATTAATTTGCAAAGTCAATAAGATGACAGAGTCATGAAAACAAAGCTGTGAGATCTCATTTGGACAAGAAAAAATTCATTAAGATAGCATGTTTTACGTTGTATGTTAAGATTACAAGGTATTGAATTTAGCAGATTTTTTCCTTTCCGTTTCTATTTTTTGGCAGTCAACGTTGGTATGGCAGTTTTGACACACGCCCATTATTTGTGGATCGATTATATCATAGCAGTTTTGAATGGCTGAATGACGTTTATCAAGGCGCAGCAATTGTTGGGTAACTAAATAATTGATTACAAAGCAGTTTGGTTGGTTGCCTAGGTGCCAAGTTTTAAGTCATTGGAAATCGCTTAACTCTACCAGATTTGTATTGCTAGATCTCGTTACTCTCATAGAGACGATTTGCTCAAAATTTGACGAAAGCATTTGACGTGCGTCGATTAACAACGTCTTTGCCTAAGCTCACTAATATACGTACATCCACGTTACATCTGGCAGCAGCGTAATGTACCACTGTTTTACCATACTGGTCTTTTTTCTCCAAAAGATTATCTCCTCCGCTCTGAAACCAAACAAACAATGGACAAACGTAGTTGACACACGTATCTAAAACCCGCTTTATCAACAATTTCATTCATTTGTCAATTAATTCTGTTTTAACGCCGTAAATCCCCCACCCACGAATCAACGTTGTTTGTAATTGAAGACAGACTTGACGGTTTAAAGTACAACGTAGTTTTTTGGGAGAAAGGGGTGGGAGTACACAGGCGAAGGGAATAGATACATACATCCACTATGCGCGAAAAAAGGGTCATTTATGGAGGTGTCTCAACACTTTTGTCCCTCATTGATAGTTGACAGCTGCCATTTAATTCAGATCAACAAAAGGCTAACCACCAAGCTCCATGAACAGTCGAAGGGAAGGGATCTTAAAGGGTGAATGTTTGTCGTAAAATTTTGTTAAGTACTCATGTCCTCTCTAAAAATAAGGCTTAAGGAAATTTCCCGTCGTTTTTGTGCAGAGGATTTCAAAGAAATATAATAAAAATCTTGCCATCAATACTGACTGTCCCAAGTTCTCCGAGGATAAAAAAGACGCCCGTATGATCTATATTCAGTGGAAGCCGAAAGAGAGGCTTTAATTGGAAGCTCGCTATTGAAAAATCCTTTTATAAATCCATCTTTTTCCATTTTCCTGTTTATGACTTTTAACTTTGGTGTTTTACAGTCTCACCTTTCTCAAAAATAGAAAATGTTTTTACGCTAGGCACCCTTTAATGTATATCCATAAACATTATAGTTTTCATACCGCCAGAATCAAGTCCACAGTTTCAATATCAGCACATGCCACAGCTACATGAAGAACTGTCCGCCAGTTCATATCTGTAAGATTCATTGGAAAACCGCAGGCCAGGAAAAATTTGACCGCGTCATGCTGGCTCCGCTTGACTGCACACATCAGAGGGGAGGGGGTGCAGGTGTTTGTCGTAGGGTACAGTCGTGCTCCCTAACAGAAGAATCATTGTTGGCTGTTATCAATGGAGAAATCAAAGACTTCGATATAGTATTTATCGGGATATTTTTACCTGGTCAAGAAGGTAGCTAATGACTGGTACATGTCCTCCAAGTGAAGCTCTGAAATGAGAAAATTTAGCGCATAAAAAATTGTCCATCCAATTTTTTTTCCTTGGAGATGCTAAGAGACTGACCAACAACACACACACTAGGAATATACCTTTATAACACAAAAAAGATAAAAAAGAGGAATACGCCAAGAAATTCAGTTGGAGAAAACCGTTGCCATTTTAAAAAGTTTTATTTCCTCTTTTAAAATATTCTTCCAGCAAGGAGTTTTCCCTTAATTTTCCGTGGCGTAAACGGTAATAAAAACAGGTCAAACGTGGCCGCTTATCATCTTTTATTTCAAGGTAGTGACAAAAAGTTCAAGCCCGCATTTGATCAGGTTTTTGCCAATCGACCACAGTGGAGTGGAGCTATATCGTGAGAGCCAAAATTTGCCTATACACTGAAAAATTCAAAGATCCAATGAAGGTCACAAGTGTTGGAACCTTTCCAGTGATATTAGTAAAACTAGCGACTCCTCCCCTCACTCTCAAACAAAGTTGAATTTTGAGCAGAAAGGGTGGAATTGAATCTTTTTTTGGTCGCAACATTGCTAGGGGGAGTGGGGACGAAAAGATGAAACCAAAGCCGATCCAAGAATTGTCATTAGGAGCAGAGTCCTCCATAACAGTTACTTGGAAGAGTTTTTGCACATAGTTCCAAGTTCCTTTGGCCTCCATTGTTGATCTTTATTTGTCAGTCATCTGCATTTAAAAGTCGTTTAAAAAGGTTTTGAATGAAAGTTACCTGAGTAACGGAGTTAATCCATCGCCATCTTCTCTTTCAATCTTTGCTCCGTGGTTTACCAACAGCTTGGTTATCTCCAAGTTACCCTGACTACAGGCAAGATGTAATGGAGTCGAAAGGTCCTCCTGAGAAATTCGTCAGAAAAAATCTGAACACTCTAAAGATTGTAGGAACTTTTTATACAAATGCTTGCGGTAGATCATTTTGGACCCTCCCTCAAAGAGCCCCATCTTCTCATTCATTCTTCCGTCCGTCCGTCCATTCATTCATTCATTCATTCATTCATTCACCCAATTTATTTATTCAAACACGTCTCTGGATCATCTCAAATAATACTACTAATAATAATTTATTTGTGACTTTCCTACCTGTGTAGTACTTATATCAGCTCCGGCCTCCAGGCACAGTTGCATGATCTAAAAAATACAACAAAGAGAGATGTTGATGTGGTGTGGCGGTATTCTTCCTTAAGAGGAAAGGTTCTCTCGTGTAGCACCGTTAAATTCAAACAGGAAGAAATCAGCAAACAAAACAGAACTGTGCTTTATAGAAACTGGGTTCAAGATCCTTACTTCAATGCTGTATATATATTTACTCACCCTTTTTAGTGTTTCCACGTAGACGATATGAACTACTATCACAGCTGACAGTTTAATAAAGGTATTAATTGATTGACAGCTGAACACACTAAAACCAAAAGTAAATGGCAATCGCTATCTATCACTTGCCTCTTTATGTTTAATGGCCAGATGTAGGCATACGTTCCCATAGTTATCAGGGCTGTTTAACAAGGTGCGGATTGATAATCCACCATATTTGGCTGTAGGTAAAGAAATATCGGAGATAAATATTTTTCATTTATAGACTTCTGTCCACTCTGTACAGCAGTTAAGGGACTGAGCAAGTAGAGACTAGGCTACGTAGCAAGCATTTCCGCTCGAGTTAGTCAAGAAAGTTGAGACTCTCGCTCCAACTTCCGGGAAATAACTCGACTGGAAACCTGCTTGTTATGCAGGCTAAGCTAGGCTAAGTAGAGACCGTCGGTGGAATTCAAATCTAATAGCCGAAGACTGATTAATTAATACAGACGTAAATGGTTGACAATTATGTATGATAGAGATTCCTAATCATAACTACAATAAAATGTTCGTGGCTTGCCGTGGTTTTTATACATTTGAAGGAAAATTCTTAGGTTCTCACGGGTTAAACCACTATAATTTAACTAATTCTGGGCTTTGAAAAAAGAGGTTTTAGAAAAGTATACGAGCCTATGCAAATGAAGTGACATTTGCTTTATGTAGCTTTGATTGTGAAGAATTCCAAAATGTGATCGAATATAATCTGACCTTTTCTAAGCATTTCTTTGAAAGCTTCAACATGACCCTCTCTTGCCGCAAGATGAAAGGGTGTGTAGCCATCGTTATCTCGAAGAGACATGTCTGCTCCATACAATATCTACAAAAACATAGCACACTATGGATAATGAATATTTGTTCAGCTTTCATTAATTTTATAACTAAACATCGACTGTCCTTGGCAATTCCTTTTTCAAAAGCCCTGCCGATCCATATGGGCCACAGAGATAGTTCAGTCGATTAATTAATTTATCTCCGTAAATATGGCACAGGTGTGACTCTTGGTTCCGATCTGAGGTGAGTTGGCTCATTCTCCAGTATTTACTCCCTCCATAAGGATTAGACCAACACTTCCGAATAACATTAGACCATTTCAGGGTTGCTCAAGTCATTTTTGAAAAGGGGAAAAGTTAGAAATGGGAAATGAAGCATTCGATCAGGGACATGGTTGATGAGGAACCAACTTGTAGCTCCACTTACAATAAATCCTTGTTTTTATCATTTTTGTAAAGTTAATTAGAACGTTTTACAATTATTATCGACAGTCTCATGAATAAGCGCAACCTTTTTCCACAAATAATGGAACAGAGAATTAACTCCGGAGTGAAAACCCAAGTGGATTTTTGCAGCACTGCTTTTTTTTTTGCCACGGTTAATTCTCTTTTCCATCATTTGACTCATAGTGCCACCCAGGTGCCACTATACGAGGCACAACATTTCGTTTCCATGAATAATCCTGACTGCTCATAATTGTCTTATCATTCGATCACCGAGAATGAACATCTTCGAGAGGCGAAGCGATCTGCCATTTTCACGCAAGAGTGATCGCAAAAAGGAGAAAAGTGAGGTTTCATTTAGAGCAGAATATTATTTTCAGCCAAACCCAATTAGACGACCTTGCGCATGAGCAGACCATTATTTGTAGGCAATTACTTGCAGGTCAAGCGGTGGGCTCTCGGCCAATGAAAAGAAAGAAAATTTGCATGCGATGATAATAAGTCTTTTAATTAAAATTAATTAACATTGAATGACTAACCAGCTTTTGGATGACTTGCGTTTGACCCGCCTGTGCTGCAGCATGGAGAGGAGTAGCTTTATCGTTATCTTCCAGATTAACCGGTGATCCTCCGTCGTTCAAAAGAACCTTAACAAGTCAAATAAGCAAGTGTAGGGTATTAAATGTACGTAGGCCAATGGTTTGTAAAAGAGTTATATTAGAGAACTGATCCGAGTTAGCTTCAAAACCCTGCCTGCGAAACCATATTTTTACATAGCGTGGTTTTAATAGTCACTAGTACAAATAGGTGCTAACGACAAATAGTTATTTAATAGCTACTCGCGTCATCAACTGCTTAAAATATCGATATTCATGTGATGCTTTAAGTTATCAGTTGTTCGCACAATTTTTGTTTACGTGAATAGGTGGATGGGTGGATGGATGGATGGATGGATGGATGGATGGATCGATGGATGCGTGGATAGATGGTGCGTGGATGGTAGGATGGATGGATGGATGTAAATGGGTATCAGTTATGGCCACTGAAAGGAGGTTATTTTGCATTTCGTTCATACTAATTAAGTTATCGCTATGGAAATTAAAAATTTACTGAGCGGTTTATTTGTATCAGCGAGAGGGTATTGTAAGTTTTTTCAGTTAAGTCTTTCACCGCAAAAAAAGATAATTCGCTCTTATGACTCACCTCTAAAACACGAGCATGGCCTTTCCGAGAAGCATAGTGGAGGGGTGACTGACCACTGCAATTTTTCTTCTCGACGTGTGCACCTCGTTTAATGAGCAAACGGCACGCTTCTGGTGAGTCAAACTTGCTTGCGCAGATCAGCGGTGTCGCGAAGGCACTCTCCTTTGAGGCGTGGGCATTGACATCTATGAAGAAAAACTCTTATTGAAAGCCGCTTTGTCATGGTTTTTTGGGTCATGTTGTTATTAAAAATAAGAAATTACTTGTGAATGAAAAAATCACAGCACTGTGTCAAACGAATATGACTCCGAAGCACTATATAAAACGTTGCAAACAACAAAAATGAAAAACTGTTTAAGCTAACAAGTTTTCAAAAACCACAATTGCAATCCGTTTCAGTCTTGTTTTTCTGTTGATCCAGTTTGTCCATCCGTGTCTCCTTTTGTATTATGTATCTGTGGTTTTAGTACGTTCTTTTCATGTTTTGATCAGTTATTTTTTAGTTTCACTCAAATTGGTGGTAGTTCTTGCTGTTTGAATTTTGACAATTTTCACGACACAGTTCCTTTAATAAAGTAGAAAAAGTAATACAGAAATACGTTATCAGAATCCCACACCGACCTCTGACTAGGTTTGTTTCTCAGAGTGAGAAATGAACGCCATTTGCAACCTAAGATCATAATTTCAACGAGCAAAAAGGTTTCCTCACCCGCTCCAGCGTCCAACAGTGATTGGATAATTTGAAGAGAGTTTCCCCTGGCCGCGTGATGAAGCGGTGTGAGGCCATCTTTGTCTTGTTCGTTACAAGCTGGTGGGTTCTGTTTGATCAGTTGTTCCACCACACATGTTAAACCATCACGACATGCCTGAAAGATTAAGGACGCAAAAAACTTTATTTCATAGCATGGTATTTCAAGATGGGTAAAAAAAGAAATCCACACATCACACTATGGTTCGGTATCCCAGGTTGCCTTACACCGCATTGAACTGAAATGCAGACGAACTTCCCCTAAGCGACCACAGGAAATGAGCTTAGAAACAAGCTCAGGTTCGCTTTGAAACAGAGGGTTGGGGCAACTCGAAATTACAATTCTATTAAATGCTTCTTAAGGTGAGAATGAAATGAATAAGATGATGAACTTTGCCATCATTTGCCTATTTTGTCAGTTCATTTCTGTCTTCAAGGAAAGGCAAACTTTGACTTTCTAAAACTGTTCTCACTAGTTTAAATCGCCAAAACTTAACAACTAAGTTTGTTATCGTTATCGAAGCCTGGGAAAGTTTCTATATTGATATCTTTCAGTTAAAAAGCGCAGCCATTCATTCATTCATTTATTCGTTCGTTCATTTATTTATTCATCCATTTATTCATTCACTCATTTTGAAAACGGCTACTTTCATCAGCATCAGATGAAGTAAAGTCAACAACACTGACAGAATTCCACGTAGAACAGAATTTTTTTTTAATATAATTAATTATTCATTGCAGTAACAATAGCCTAAAGACGACTCCGAGGCTTTAGGAACATAACTGCTCATTTTTCATGGCATTGTCTCGTAATTCCCAAGGAGATTTGAAAAGAAAATCAAACCAAATATAGAATTACAAGACGTTGTTGCGTTTGACGAAGGAGAACACTTCCTATTTGGGTCTTTTTCCACCTCGGGTATCGTATCACCAAAATTTCCATTCCTAAGGTCCTAAATCGCAAGGAAAGTGAACAATCCCTTCATTTCCTCCCTTCGCTCATCTGGGTGAAAAACGTTCACTCAAAGAAAGGCATTTTGTCTTGTAAGAAGCCTGAAATGCAGTCACCATACGATTTACCCGGCAAACCCAGGCGCCGAGCCAATACTCAGGGTCTTAAAATATTGACTTTGAAATTAAGGTATTGCCTTTGCCCTGCAAATGGCTAGACCTTCGCCCGGTAGTCCGGATGACCACGTAAAATGACGGCTCGCTTCGGATGGAGAAATTGGGAATTTTGTGCTGAATGCATTGACAATCAAATAAAGTTCATTTTTTTCTCGAGTATGTCCATATGTAATTGTATCTGCAAATACCAAGATTTACGACATTAAAGTGTTTCTCATGAATTTAACTCCATTATTAACGCAGTAGTCATGATAGATTGCGTGCTGCGTCTTATCAAACCATCGCTTTTATCACTTTTCTAGCTTATGCTTTTAAAATCATTAATTAGTAGATCTCAGCACTTTTTG